GTCAAAAGATATCAGAGTAAAGACATCCCATGATAAATAATGGAGTGTGCACTACAGTCATCCCGAGCTCTTTCCCTTGCTACCGGAAGTACCTGAAACCAAAACTGAAAAATGTAAGCACGAAGCTTAGTGAGTCTCCCAAAACTACCACATATCATACACATAATCACATTTACTAGGCCCCTGCCCCTTCCTCGGGCCCCGCCTGGCATCAAGCCTCGCTCGGTATACAAATATGTTTCTTCCAGACCCTGCCTATCTCTGGGCCCCGCCCGCGATACACATACAGTTAATAACATATAATCATGCTAGCACATAAATAATCATACACAGTACTATATATTCTCGTCCTAAAGTCTCGCCTATCATGGGCCCACCCTTACTCTACTAATAATGAGATATGGAACCCCGTCCACGCTCAGCTAGTGATGAGATATGGGGCCCCGCCCACACTCACCTCCCTACTAGGGACATACAAGTATCAAAAAGACAACAAGTATAACTAAGCATGCATTCCTTCATCGGGTACTACCCGTCATCGAACCGTAGTTCGGAAACATATATATAAACATTCCTCAGGCCCCGCCCGGCATCAGACCGAAATCTGAAAGAATACACACATTCCTCGGGCTTACCCCGGCATCGGACCTTAGTCCGGAACATACTAACATACGTAAACAGACCGGCATTGGTCCCTTCGACCCGTTCTTACAGGAGACAACTCACCTCTCAAAGCTGAAAGCAGAATCTCACGATGAGGAATCTCTTAACGGCTGCTCCGAGGACTCCCCGAGCTGTTATTACCAACATAATACTTAGTCAAAATCCAATAATCCCTTATATATCATTCCATACCCAAAACCCCTTCATGGGTCGACCTTGGTCAAATTCAGAGTCAGAGTCAACACCCCGGTCAAAGTCAACATTCTAGTCAAAGTCAACATTCTGGGTTGACTCAATTCGCCAAGTCATCCCCCTTGACTCGCTGAGTTTCCATGCTACTCATGGTTGCGATAAAACGAGTCAACCCGTCGAGTCCCTCCTTGGACTCGTCGAGTTCTACCTGGTACATAATCGGGACAAATCGACTTAACCTCGTCAAGTTCCTCTATGAACTCGACAAGTTATTCAGACTGTTTGGGCCATATTAATGGATTAATCATCTACTCTTCAGATCTAAGCTTCATATTTCTCATATACTGTGAAATGTCCTTTTAAGGGTAAAGTTTTCAACTTTACCCGTTAGTACCTTTACTTAATGGGTTTTGCTCAAACTCTAACTCTTTAGGACCTAGATATTGGTCCACAAGCCATCCATACTCCAAACTAAAGCATACAAACAGAGATCTAGAGCCTACACACTACATAAAAATGTAAAGCTTCCACTTTTCACTCCATGCATGGCCTTTTGGTGCTTAAAAGGCCAAAATGACATCTTATGGCTTGCATGGGGCTACAATGGTCATAAAGTTTGCACCTTTATGCCATGAAAGCCCTCCATGATTCCAAATCTAGTGGTTCACTCACTTGGGACGTCCATATCCCAAAGGTCAAGCTTCTTGGACCAAAAACCCAATAAAATGATAATAAAGAGATCTAAGAAGCTACTAAGAAATTTTGAGACTTGATTACCAGAAAGTGATGAGAATGAAATGGAGTCTCTGGATCTACTATCTTCTTCTTGAATCCCCAAGCTTCTCCTTCCTTCACAAGCTTCAAAACACACCAAGTTTCTCTCAAGGGTGGCTCACAACACTCAAACTAGCATTAGGGTTTCTGGACTCAGGGTTTGGACAATAGAGTCTGGTAACCTTAGAGTTTAGGATGTCTAAATAGGCTGTAAAATCCCGGATTTAGGGTTTCCCAAACCCAGTCCAACTCGTCGAGTTGTTCTTCCAAAAACACGCATGACAACATTCCTACTCGTCGAGTTCTCAACCTTGAACTCGACGAGTTACCTGCTTGTTTGGAGATTTTCTTTCCTTATTTGGCCTTCTAGTTTCTAGGTGTTACATCATTTAATCCCAAAATTAATTCCAAATTAATTTCTGATTAAATACTAATTAGTAATATGATTTCTAATTAATATCTATTCTTATGATATATTAATAAATCATTTTTATGCACTAATTTATTATTCTAAATAATAAACTCAACCTCTTTCTCCAATAGTCATCCTGTCTAGTTTCCAGTGTGAAGGTAACCCAAAAGGACCATGCTACTATCAAATCAAGTACATACCAATTATAGTTATAGGCTTAGACACCTAATCCAACACTCTTCCATACCTTTCCATGGATATAAAGATTGTCGAAAACAGAGTTGGAACAAAGAAGTTATGACCATTTGAAGTTAGGGTGGTTTTGGGTTAAGTTGTGTATGTTGGGCGTACTAGGGCATCCCTAGTACGTTGGGCGTAAATTGACTATGTTGGGAATACACGATTAGTGCTTAAACCTATTTTCTTGGTTTGAGCCCTATTTAAGCTCTTTAACTCTCCCAAATACATTCCATTCTTAGCCTCCACCTCTCCAACACCCTCTCTTGTAACCTTAACCCTAGATTGAGCCTTATGAGCAAAAAGAAAGTGTTTTTAAGTGTTTTGGAGTGTTCTAGGTGCACCTTGGAGAAGAAGGAACTCATTGAAGAAGTGTTGGTTACATTGGAGCTTGTAGATCCAGACTTTGTTCACCTTGATCTTTCTTCTAAAGGTATAAAGTTTGAATCTTGATGATGAAATTGTTAGATTTAACTAGTTTTGGGTGTTATGAGCTTTTGGTCACTTTAAGTGCATAAAGTTTAGATTTTGAAAATTTGTGGCCTTGTTATGGATAAAGTGGAAACTTTATCCATCTAAACATCATTTTGATTCAGATCTAAAGGTTGGAGACTTGTATTTAATGGATTGGGTTGAAAAGGATGTACTTTTGGATCCCTTTGAGACTTAAAGACTAGATCGTGTTTGTTGGGACCATTCTAATGGATAAAGTTGGAAACTTTATTCATTATGGAGATATTATGAACCAGAAAAATGTGATCTTGGACCTTCTATCCTTTCCATACAAGAGTTGTGACGTCTTATTAGGTTAAGAACTTAGGGTTTTGGACATTAAGCACTTTATAGCCATGCAAAGTCATAAAAAGTTGGAAATTTTATGACTTAGGACATCATTTTGGGCTTGGGTCTGTGTTTTGGATGTAAGAGATTAATGGAATAAGCTCTTAATGGAGTTTTGGGACTGGGTTGTGTATGTTGGGTGTACCTGGTGGTACGATGCGCATACACAGTCAACACCCCGCTTTTGGTCAACATCAAAGTACGCTAGGTGTACTCTCTTAGTATGCAGTACTCCATTGGGAAGAAATATTGACTTTTGGACCTTGACCGTTGACTTTGACTTTGACCAGAGTTGACTAAGTTTGACCTAAGGGAAATTTGGGTAATCTGATTCATAGTTTGAGATTTGGGTTCCTATTAATTGTATATGTGACCAGTAGAGATAGCTTTTAGAACAATGATCGATGCAGCTATTCTTTCAGACTATGAGGTGAGTTTTCTCACTATATATATGGGTCGAAGGCACAAATGTCAGCCCATTACTTGTTATGTGGAATGTTAGTTGTCCCTGTGATGTTTGCATGAAAGACCGGGATCTGGCCCCTGACAATTATATGAAAGAACAGGATATAGCCCCTGACACTTGTATGTAAGATCAGGATTTAGCTTTCGGCATTGCAAGGAAAGACCACTGGGGAAGCCCATGACACTTGTATGTTTTGGTGTGTGGTATTTTGGGAAACTCACTGAGCTTTGTGCTTTAGGATTCATATTTATAGTTTCAGGTACTTTTGGTTCAAATGGGAAAGGCCCGGCATGACTGCACAACATCCCTCAAAGTTTTCCGCATTGGCAATTAATTATATTACTCTAATGTTTAAATGATATATTCACTTTGATCGGTTTTGGAACAACTCGTTTGTATGATTTATTGTTTTAAAAATAAAAAAATTTACCTTGGATTGTCGGGACGTTACATGATATGTTATATGATTTAGTGTATGATGGTTATGTGTTATTATGTGTATTGCATATGATATGTATAATGTAAATCCACTAGTTGATGATTACATCAATTTTGTTCCACGTGACTTTATCAATGGAAATGTGGCTTCATCGATGTGGTCAACAACATAGTATACACATGTAATGATACGGAAAAGTTCAACTCAAGATGCATAACGATCATCGGCTTGATCAAGGGTTGTCGGCACTGAATTTTTTATGTTTGGTTATGGAGAAGAAAGAGTGAAAGTTGTTCTTGTTGGCTTTGTTATTCTCATTAGAAATCGATAACCCTTTATCTACAAAAGTTCAAACCAGGATGCATAATGATTAAATCGTTGATCGTTACACATGTCGGGTGAGTTTTTCCAAATCATTACATGCCCCTACAATATGTTTGACCACGTCAATGAAGTTATGTGGAAGAGAATTGATGCACTTGTCAAGCAATAGATTTACAACACCATCTCTCTAGATTTACTCTAATAGTATAATGAAGCTGAAAGCTTCTGACATGGAGTTACAAAAACGAATGCAATAAATCTTTCAAAATAGCATAGATATAAAGTTTATTTTTTAAATGTTTGAGGTTTAATCCGAAATAGTAAAATATAAGGACAAACCAGAAAAAATAAAAAAAAATTGAGATTCAATGTAAGGCTTTTTTAAAAGAAAATAAAAAATTGAGATTCAATTTTAAAAAAGCATTAAACATTAGGTTGTCTTTTATGTAATTAACCCTTTAATTTACAACGAGTTTGTTGGATTATAAACTTTATTGTTTAATAACCTGCTTATTTGTTGATGCTACTTACACCTATGTAAACCTACTCGCCTTATGAAATGTGAGTATTAGTTTATCTACACAGTTGGTGCTTTCTTATAATTATCTATTTGATTTATGTTTGTTAGCTTGGATCAAATCAGATAAAAACGACATTAACAACAAAGATTAAATCACATAATTTTACAAATCAAAATCAAATAAATAATCATTTTACTAAAGTTAAAACCGATAAGATAATTTTACAAATATCTAATATACTAGTCATCGGACCAAAACTTGACAAATGCAGTAATGAAAGCCTTGATAAATGTCACAAATCGGTGAGTTTCTGTGCGACTAGATTTCTTCGATGCAGCTTCCCATGACTCACTGCTTAAAAAAATTAAGTTAATCAATCAATCAATCGTGTCACTCAAATTACAACCCACACACACACACACGTGTACTTACAGATTGATTCTGTTTAACGTTGCTGTGGTTCTTCTCTTTTGGGAATTGCTGTGATCACTTGATTTGTTAAAATTTGCATTTCTTTCATCATCATCTTCAAGTGTCGATTGTTGTACAGAAATGGTGTGGAGATTCGGAGTGTATGCACCATTTACATTCTGCTAACATGAGATGCAATGTTAATAATCAATATGAAGGTACGTATGTATATGTATATGTATAATGTATGTATGTTCAAAAGGAACTCACTTTTTCTTCAACAGGAAGACCATCTTCAAGTTTAACATCTATGTTTTCTTCAGTTGAGGAATGATTTTGATTCTTATGATTTTCTTCCTCCAACTGTATATCCACCACTTCCCTTTTCTCAGTATCCTTTTCCTCCATGGTTACATGTCCTAAAGAAGAAGAAGAAGAAGAAGAAGAAGCTCCTACAACTACATTTTCTAATTGTTTTTCAGATTGATTTGTTACTAATGCATCTTTTTGATCATCCACAATAGATCCTTCTTGAGTTACCATATGTACATGGAGATCAACAGACATTGAACCCAATGGGTTGTGTTCTAAGAAACTATCTAATTTCTCCATGTTTTTATCACCTGGAGATGACTTAGGTGGGCCCAGCACCCGGTTTTCTTGAATTATCTCCCGAACGATTTCACGCACAGTGTAAAAGGACCCACCAACTTCCTTACGTGTCAGATTCAGTGATGGGAAATCTCCATTGTTTGATTTCTGGTATCTGCAAAAACAAAACCAAATCTTATCAATTATCATCTTTCAGTTTGTGTATGAATGTGTTGCTTTAGAAAGACATGAAAAGACCTTTTGATAAAAGTTTCAACCATTCCTTTCCTTTCCTCTTTTGAACGCCGAATTACTGATTTCTTCCCTTCAAAAGAATCATCGAACTTTGCTAAAGCAAATGTTGGCCCAACCCAACCTCCTCTACTCACATGCATTGGATCAAGAAAGAGTTGATCAACAACCACCAATTACCAAAACCTACAGAACACGATCAATGTCATATTCTTAAGTCTTAACAAACAAGATAAGGCACAAAAACCCTATCATGTTGACACTAATGATTCTACTTCAATACTATACACCACTTATGTAATGATTAGGCAAATTCAGTTGCTGCTTTTAAGTCGAAACCCTAGAGCTATCATATGAAATGTGTGAGAACATGTTCATCCAAGATGGATTTTCGGTTTGAAAAATGGCGCTCCATGTTTTCAAATCAAACGCCTCGATTTAGTTTAGAAAGTTGTCGAGAGCCAATAACTCAATTGATGTACATTTTCACCTGAGAATTTGAGTTGACAGTGATAACCAGTCGTAATTAACATGTGTATGAGATATTGAATGCGGGAAGAACAGAGAGGAAGAGAAATAATTGAACATCGAAGACAACTCGAAATGAAAATTGAGATGAAAGTAAAACCATAGGAGATGTCAGCCATATGCATACATTTGTGTGTGATTGTGTAAATTACCTGAAGTGTGTATCGGCTGTGTCGGAGAACGGTTGAGATGAAAGCTTAGGAGTTGGGAGTGACTGGAAACCCTACACAGTTAGAAGGGGGAGTGGAAGTGTGAAAGGGAGTGTTCCGAGGATGCTTTTATCACTTTATGTTTTTCATTTTCTTTTTAAATGGCGACACTATTTTTTTGCACCTATAAATGTTTTTTTACATCAAAATTATAGTATACTGATGTTATTATGTTGTCTCATTAGATTAAAAATATATAATTAGAATTTTATAATTATAACCTGTTAAAATTTTATAATTATACGTTACATTAACTATAAACTTATAATTTTTATATTATATTAATATATGAACTTATAATTATTTAATGTGAACAATATGATAAAATAAACATTTACTAAAATCAAATCATTTAACAACTAATGTTAGTTTTAATTCCTGTTATGATTAAGTGATTTGAAAGTTATATATTTGACTATTTTTTAAATTTTAGCTCATTACTTAAAATATCAATATTTATAAAATAAAGAAATATAGTTAATTCTTATTATTAATTAAGTTTAAAATCACTTATTATTATCAAAAATTTATAAAAGGCTATATATATATTTTTTTCGTAATTATCTCATATTAACTACTATTAACTAGCCAATTTATGTGTTATTAAAATTTAAAAGATCATTGAAATTTAATAGAAATTTGAAAGGTTATAGGATTTTCAAAATTATATGTTTTGTCTCTTTTATAGTATAGAATAAATTATATGAGTTAATTACTTATAAGGATAAAATACTTTAGTCGGTGTATATATTTGACCTCTTATGTTTTTTCTCGTGTGCGTATGATCATTGAATTTCTTTAGCCTGTTAAAACAAGAATTTTCAACCAAAAATGAATTTTCCAATCATATTCACCGATCAAAACACTCATGAACAATCGCATTCAAACACAGACAATCATCAAAAACACACAAGTCTAAAAATCGATTGTGTGTGTGTTTTTGTTTCAAACTCATTTCTTACACACACCCCTCTAAATTATCTGTAAAAGTTTTTATTTCTGAATAGTAAATTAAACACCAAAAAAGACTAAATTTCACAACCATTAAACTTGATTACTACTACAACATAAACATTCAACATTTAACCATCATCAAATAGCCAAACACAGGAAAACTTACCATCGAATTCAAGAATACAATCATTTACTCTTTTTATTGAGATATTGTTATTCTTAATTATTCTGCCATTCCACAAACCTACAATTTAACAAATCCGCAAAAAACTCACAAATTACCCACCAATTAACTCAAAAAAAAAGTGGTCTATGAAGTGAAAACAAAAATCTGTAGTCAAGTGTATAATATACAAGGAGTAAAAAAAAATAAGAATAATACACGTGTTCAACTTTCTACCAAAATAACAAAAATAATTTGAACCAAAAGAATGCAAGTACACGTGTGGTTGTACCTCTGTATTTCTCCTTTCTCTTTGTATGGCCAACACATTATATATACCCACTAGAATAACATTCAGCCCCCTTTGTATATCTTTTGTTGGGGTTGTGATCTGTATATGGTGTACTGATCACAACCCCAACCCAAACCAGTGAACCAATCGCTGGTTCACTGGGAACCGTTCCACGGTTAGAATTTATAATTTAGAATTTAGAATGTTTCTATCCGGCAAGTGTTTTTTGCTTGTATCCAAACTTTAACCTTTCGAGTATTTTCTCTTTTTGTTTTCTTTTTTTGTCCATTTTTATTCTATATCTTTCTTCTCTTTCTCTTTCGTATATACCTTGCCAATGTACTTCTCCTGTTCTTGGCCATAACCATGTTTCATAATCATAGGGATGATCACCATCATCAGCTGCCTCTGCTAGATCTTCATCCATGCTTTTTAATAAAGTGGCATTGAAATATTTACTCCACATTAACCCTTTTCGATCTTCTACTGGGTGGTGTTCTTCTAATGACCCTGAATTTGGGTCGATGTAAACCATGGTTCTACCACTATGGTATGCCCATACATTCACCAACAGCTCCAGTATCCGACAATAGCAATGTTGTTTCTGTTTTCAATATTCATACAAGATAATTATTAAAAGAATATAAAAAATATAAAACAAAATGAAAATGTAAACGATATAGTATAGTCTTAAAAGTAAATTATACTTTTGGTCCTTGAGTATAGCGTGATTTTGCAATTTTGGTCCTTTTTTGGAAATTCTTGTGATGTTTTTCGGTCCCTGTTCTAAGTAAAATGACTATTTTTGGTCCCTGAGTATAGCTGATTTTTGCAATTTTAGTCCCAAAAATATAGTCATTTTACTTGGATCAGGGACCAAAACTGTGTTATAAAAACCTCAAATAAATACCAAAATTGCAAAATAAAACTTTTAGGGCCCGAAATTGAAAAAAAAAAATCAGGTACGCTCATGTATCAAAAATGTAATTTACTCTATAAAATGAAAAGCATATTAGAATCTAAAGAGTAAATTATATTTTTGGTCCATAAGTACAGCTGACTTTTTGCAATTTTGGTCTCAAAAAGTTATGTTAATCTTATATTTTGTGTTTTTTCTAGATTAAACCTCATCTTTATTTTTTTCATGAAAAAAAAAAAAAAAACTTATATTTTTTCATTTTTCCCGAAAAAACCCTCAACTTTGTCTTTTTTTCCAAAAAAAACCCTCAACCTCCTAATGTTTCCAAATAAATCCTCAACCTTTTTAGTTTTTCCTGAAAAGCCCCTCACATTTTACAACCTTTTTTAGAGAAAAATGACTAAAAGGGCCAGATCGGAAAAAATTAAACAATGCAAGGTCTTCCATGAAAAAAAATAAAGTTGAGATTTAATCCGGAAAATACACAAAATACAAGGTCTTTGATGAGATTAACCCAAAAGTTCTCTTGTAATTCTGGTCTTTATTCAAATATAGCTAATTTTTGCAACTTTCGTGCCAAAAAACATTACAACCTTAAACTAGGACCAAAATTGAAAAAATCAGCCATACTCAGGGACCAAAAATGTAATTTATTATAATTTTAATACCTCACTCAAGGAAGATCCTAACATGCATTCAGTGGCTGTAGTTGAATTCATGTGCAAACTGTCAAGAGAATCAGCAAACATCCTGTAGTAAAATTTAACAAATTAGTATTAAAAAAAAATACATGGATTCATTTTGTTTATAGTTTGATAATAATTTTTTTTTATTTTATTCACCTGGAAAACATCATGAATTCTAGAAAAGAAGGGGTGGCCATGACCCAGCTGTGAAGGGAAGACCAGTGGCCACCATCTTCAGGCATTGGCGGAAGGGCTTCCACATATGACGGCAAAGCATACATCCGTCTGAAAGCATCCTGAAAGGCCATTCTGCAAGCATTCGATTCAGGGGTATTTTAGGTATTTCCATCAACAAATAATTCACGTATGAAGGTTGAGTGTTACCTGCAATTTCCAGCATTTAAGATGTCACACATGGACCAAAATGTTAAAATATGGTCATTTCCAGCAAGTTCCCCATCCATGTCTAAGTGGGCCCAAAAATACATCACGTCTCCTTTATGTTTCTGTTGTACTGTTCCTTCTAGAACCCTTTCAGCTTTCGAGGACAAAGATACCTGAAGTAAATAATTTCGTTAGCAGAGGGCATTTTGGTCTTTTCATGAATATACTGATATACCTTCCTTGCAGCAGCACGCCATGATTGAAATCCAATCCAAGGTCGTTTATGAACATTATCCACCCGATTTGCAATTGAAAACATGCCACCCATTTCAAGTAAAATATCTCTGTAATAACTCTCATTTAAAATAGAAAGCCTCCCAACTGCATCCACATCATCTGATCTCAATCTTCTAGATTTTGCAGACTGTACAAAATAACTAAAATCATAAATAAAATCTAAACAAATGAAAATTTAATAATAAAAAAATATATATTTTATAAGTAACTTACTAGACTTAGACCACGATATAAAGAACCATGGTGCAAAAAAGGCCAAGCCCCTGCTCCATTGTAGATCTCGTATATGCATAAAGGTTGACCAGTCCTCTCTAGCTCCCCTTCATCTCTTTCATTTGCTTCAGATTTTAATTTTTCTGCTTTTTTAGCATCACGATATAATTCATCCCATACACCATAGCTTTTATCTGTTCTTCCCTCAATCTATCACATCAAATTAAATGTCACGCCTTGCTTAGATATAAAAGAAACTAACATTGATGAATATTTTGAAAAAGGGTAAAATCGTCATTTAGTCTCGTTCAGACGGTTTATTCGGTTTAGAAAAGAAACAATCCATACAGGACTAGATGGAAGAAGAAAAAAAAGTGCTCATAAAATAAGTTATGTTTTTACTTTTTAAAAAAGGTTGTACCTCTTCCAATTCTACCCTTTCAACTTCTTCTGAACTATCGATTTCACTTAAAACAATCCAGTCCAATTCGGTTGGAATATCCTCTGGCATTATCTCGGGATCATTCTGTGTGCTTCTTGAATCCATTATTAATGTCATGTGTTCTTCAATATCAAAAACTACACTGGTGTTTTTATCATCTTTGTTTATAAAATATGCCATGTCATCTGTTTCTTCTGAGAACAAATCCCATTCCCATTCACGTGATAATTGAGAAATGGAATGTGGCAACATGGAGTCTGATGGAAGTGTAAGAACATTGTTGAGAAGTTTTATATAACCAGAAACACATTCTGAAGCATGCATGTTTTTAGCAAGAAACCTTCCGGAAGAAGCAATGGTAGTGGCAAAATTTGAGAGCTTTCCTTTTGATACAAGAAGCAAGAAAGCTTTCATCAACTCATCGGGTTTTTCTTTAGAAAAAATAATTCCATTTTCGCCATCAATAACCTGGGGGATTGAGAGATCTTTATAGAAAAGAACAAAAAGAAAATCATATTTTTACCTCACCTAATTGAAATACTGTAGAAATAATGTTGAACTTACGTATTTTTTTATGATGGGGTAATCAGGGGCAATTATGGGAACACCAAATGTCATGGCCCTAGTGAGTAATGAAGGGAACCCTTGCTCATCTTGAGAGGAACCATATAAAACAATATCAGATATTAATAAAATCTCGTCCACATCAGCATCTAATCCATAATGTCTAACCGAATCACGGTTGAGACCCAAATGTCCAGCAATATCCTGTGAATATAACATTTTTTTGTGACAATATGATCTTTAAAAAAAAGGATATAAAAAAGAATCGTATATATACCTGTAAAGCATCGTTATAGGCAATACTGGAGTTCCCACATACGAATAGAAATTTGAATGAAGGGCCCACATCTCCTTCCTTTGCATATTTGATAAGCAAAGGTCCTAAGTTATGCATTGCTACAGCATAATCCCATGATAGTTCATTGTAGAAGAAAGAACTTCCAACAACCAAAACTATCATATCATCTTCACCAAAACCATTTTTCATCCTTAATTGAAATTTGGAGTGACTTTTTAGGTATCTTTCAGCTGCCCACACATCTATTGGTGATCCAGGAATCACAAAGAAGTTTCCAGTGTCAAGCACACTATATAACATCTGAAACAACATGCTTATATAAATCATGATTGAATTCAAGAAACAGTGTAATAAGATGTTCATGAAAATATAGCGACTCATAATGGGGTGATAAATTACCGGGAAAGAATAATCTGGAAACACAACCACATCAGCTCTTCTGAAAACATTCTTCCAATATGTAATTAGATGTTCATGTGGCAATTCTTGATATAGAGGAAGGCGATTTGAAAGGGTGTCTTCTTGAATTATCCAAATGAGTTGTACAGAGCAAAAGGGCTCCTGCATAAGGCTGCATACATATAAAAAACTTACAAATCATGGAGAAAGTACAAGTTCAGTAGTTTAAAACAAAAGATTTTAATAATTCAAATTAACTACCACATACCTTGAAATAGCATTATGTGCTTCTAGAGAATTTACAATGATGCCATCAAATCTGCAGCAATAGATGGAACACAGTTTATGTAGCTGTATGTACTGAAATCATCAGTAAATGTGACAAAGTATATACACGTTCTAAAATCATCAGTGACAAATCATATTGTTGAAAAATGCATTGAAAGAGAAAGAGAGAAAGAAAACATACATTGACCAATCAATATGACCATAATTTTCAGGACTTAGAATGGAGACTTGGCCAACAATCTTCTCCCAGAGTGATTTTGTTTTGCCATCTTCTGTTGCATATATCTGTATGGAAGAAGCATTATGAAGATGAAAATTAAAGAGATTTAGAAATCTAGTTCCACAAATGGATTTTCCTTGCTTCTTAACAGGGACATATTCACATGCACCCAACAAGAAATTTAAAATTATGCAGTTGTGTATATCCCTATCAAGAAAATCACTTCAATGATCTTATCAGTCTAACATTAGGCTGCTTAAAGAACACTTAATTCTACATATGGAATTATGGATCTTCCAGATGAAAAACGATAGCTTGATGTTTTCATGCCCAGTCAACATAACAAAATCACACATGTAGAAAAACATAAACCAGCAAACAGACAGATAGATATAGTAAGAGGTACTGAAGTTCCAGAAATAATCACCTGAAGCACATAACCAAGTCCTCGAATATTCTTCATCACAGTAAGCAGCATCAATGACAATGGGTCATCCTCCATGTTTCCTAAGATCTTACAATGATCAAAACAAGGCACTGTTGTAAATATGAGATCATGAGTGTTCATGCATGTATAGACACTTAACCACTGGAGCACAATATATGGGTAGTGAAAGTAGTGAACCAGAATACATAAATCAAGCTTAATTTGAATCTCTAATTTCTCCTATTCTCTTTCTTTCAAGTTTTTTTAGTTCTTTTATCATTCTCTTTGTTGAATCCTAAAGAAATATTATTTAAACTAAGAAATATGAAGCTCTGGTTACTTTTGATGTTAAGGACCACCAATGTAGAGTTTAAAAGGTGAAGCAGTGAAGACGTTTGATTAACAAAAAAGCACCAAATAATTCACGCAATCACTATCTCCATTATTTATAGTTCTCAATTGCATATCCCTCACCTACCCAGACACCAAACCCGATAGGTCCATAATACCTGTTACTTTCCCTCACTATCCTACAGGTCCTTTCTCTCTGCTTCCCGAACATCAGGTATGAAAACCGAAGAATAAAAATTTCAATAAGTGGTCGTCGTTTTCGTCTGTAAAAGCATCAATACTCAGTACATTAAACTAAACAAAACTTAAAGCACTCACAATTGCAAGCCTAGGAGGTCGAACTCCAACCCGAGGCTTGTGCCTTGCACGTTCGATCTCGAAACTCCTATCGATCCTCGATGAAATGAACTTCAACGAACTTCCGAACTTCAAACCCTCGCGCACAGTCCTCCCGATCCTCTCACCGCCGCCCTGCCGGAAAACCATTGAAGCTATCGAGCTCTGTAGCACCATCGATGCCAGTGCAAACGCAAAAACAGCAATCAATATACACAAGTAGAACCACGACGTTCCCCAGACTGAGCACAGCTTCCGAGGAACAACGGGTCGGCCTCCGACGTGAGATCGGCGCGGCCGATCCGATAAGCTGATGACTGTAGCAGATGATTTCGATAAAGGTATAGGCGCAGGTTTAGGGTTTCTCTTGGATGGGAATCGACCCCGGATCGGGTTTAATCCGGTGCCGTCGGAGTTAGCATTTGAGTTGTCACCGTCGTTTGTACTGGGCGAGTTCTGGCCCATGTTTCAGCAATCTAACCGAGCAAACTCAGTTTTAACATTGATTCTCCATTGAAACCAAACAACGGTGAATCTGATGAAGATGATGAAGGATTTGATTTTTCACACACACAGAAAAAGAAAAAAGAAAAAAAAAAAAGACACAAACACAAAAAGTCCCTTCTGTTTGGGCAGTTATGGTTATTAGATATAGTGTCTGTATAAGTATAAATGTTATATGTATATGTATGTATGTGAGTATTGTTGTTTTCGAGAGTGACGGTGATTGAGATGAGATCTGATTTGTGATTTTGCTTTTTTCAGTTTAAACGCGTTTTCGAGAGGGGGAAAAATGAGCATCTTTTGATTTTGCTGGGGTGCTAAAGTGAATGCAAAATGTTCCAAATAAATTTTAACACAATATATTTTTTATAAATATTTTTATTATTTTTAAATCTTTCACGATTAAATTCTTAATTTTTTAGTATCATTCAAAATTTAATATAATTTTTTTTCTTAGGCTACTCGGAGTATTTTTTTTTTTTCTTAGGCTACTCGGAGTGGGCAACGCCTGCTCCCGTTATTATGCCTAATAACACCTAATAATGCCAATGAACACCGTCCCCTTCCATGTTATTCCATGTTAAAGGCATCCCCGTTACTTCCTGTTACTACCATAACATCTTTTAACGGCATTTTCTTCTTTTTCTCCTAGTAACACGTGTGGGGCGTTGCCCACACCCACCACTCTTATTATAACGACAACACTCTTTAATTCGTTAAATTCTCTGAAAGTTAGCATCCAAAAAAGTTGGTATATTTTTGAAAATTTATTATAGATCAATTTTCAGTTTTTCGTCGATCCAATCTGATTTTAAGAATTTTTATTAATTCTTTATTTACAACATTCAATCGAGAACATTTCTTATCGCGAAAACATTTGAGAACAAATTTGAAAAACACAATTTTTTTTAATTAAAATTATAAAATAATATTCATATAAATCAAAAAATAGTTACAAACAATTAAAAAACCCATTAACTAACATCACTCATCACCCAACCAACACCACCACCCACCACCACCACCACCCGTCACTAACCACCACCACCATCCACCTCCACCACCAATCACCACCGCCTGCCACCACCACCCACAACCACTACCTACCACCACCCATCACTACCCACCACCACCCACCACCACCACCACCCACCACCCGCCACCATCACCACCACCATCACCACCCGCCACCACCACCCATCACCACCGCCCATCACCACCACCAAATATCATTACCTATCACCCATCACCACCACCAACCACTACCCACCACCCATCACTACCCACCACAACCACCATTCACCACCATAACCACCACCACCCATCACTACCCACCACCAACCACCACCGCAATCACAATAGCTAGTAAAGTTGATATTTGTATAAAATTTTTTATGAACACCAAGTGTTTGATGAAATGTCTCAATAAAAAAGTAGTATTTTATGTGAAAATCTCTAACTTTGAACCCTCATTAAGCCAAGCATTAAGGCCCTTAGGTTAAATTGAATTTCGCATATTAATAGCTTAATAAGTAACTAACAATCATATAAAAAGTGATAAACTTAAGGCTTAACCATTAAGTCCTTAATAGAACACCAAAAATGATTTAGAAGATATTATGATCAATTTTCCCAAATATGTCCTCCAACTTCTAAAATCCATGCAAGTCAATACGAACATATAAAAATCATGAGACTTAGTTTATAATGTGATATCTGTTATCGTGCATACTGTCTTTGTGACTTATTATGTTGTTATATATGTTGATCTTATATGCTTATATCGAGATATGTGATATCATGCATTATGTCTTGTGATTCATGTCGTGTATCGTCCTTTGCATTGTTGAGATAGGACCACAGGGTCCGCCCGAGTTGTGGAAGCGGAGGGTTCCATTGAGACACATTGACCGGAGGGTCTTATTCGAGATATAGCCATGAGAGGCTAATGAGATGTGTGTGGTATTTTGGGGACTCACTAAGCTTTGTGCTTACTGTGTTATCTGTTATGTATTTCAGGTACCTCTCAGGATCACGGGAAGGCGCTGACTTGATTGTACACACGAGATGGAGTTATGTTTCTGAGGACCATGGATTTTATTCAAACAACTATGAACATGTGTTTTTGATAATTTGACATTTTGGAGATTTTGTGATATGTGTTGATGAGATTTATGTGATTTTAAAATGAAAATTTCGTTTGAAAATTTACGTTGTTACAGTACAGGATAACACAACACAAACTCTATACAAAACAACTAGGTTTGGGTAAAAGTTTTCAACTTATTTAATTAAGCGGGTTGACACAACACGACACAAAAATTAAATGGATAAGGGTAGGGTTGAAAGTTTCAGCTCGATTATGAATCATTTACTTATATGAACTTTTTTTTTAATTATTTAGATAAAATAGGGGTCGTTTGATAGTTGATTGTTGTGTTAGAAACTGACTGGATTAAAAATTCTAACTGAGTCCACATTCGACTGAGTTTATTTTGTCTGATTATTTATCTGACTTATACTGATTGTGCTGAATGATGAAAATGACCATATTACCCTTATGTTGTCTATTATATCAAAAGAAAGATAAATAATTTAACTTAACACACATTTACAGCATAAATATGCTTTCATCATGTTTTTACCAACATGTACAACATAAGTTGTGATTTTATACGAACAAATTCTAATTTCATACCAAGATCATACAACATTTTAACAAATTATGATTTCATTCCCAACATTTGAACAAGTTCTGATGTCGTACCAATATCAAATAAGCTTTCAACAATTTCTAATTTCATAATATTAGAACAAGTTCTAATTCCATACCAAACTATCAACAAATTTTGATTTCATACATTACATACAAAAAATAGGGTTTTTTTCAGATTTTCATTTCAACAATTTCATTTATATAAAACTCCAACTTCTAATGAGAGAACCCCTCTCTAAAAGTACATCATATTACACCAAAACATGCTACATGCATATTCACAAACAATATTTTACATTGATAGTTTAATTACAAAAGATTGGATACAAACTGACTAAGTTTTAGTATATTACATAACTACCCAGGAAATTATAATTTTATACATACATGATCACTAAATACAAAAGTAATATTATTAACTATTCTAAATCTTCCAACGGTATGTGTCTATATTGGATGCTTATTACCTGCAATAGTTAAACAATGAGACGGATAAGCGGTGACGCTGAGTGAGTTCAAAAATAGATACAATATAACATTATGCCATATATATAACAATATGACAGAAGCAAAGAGGAACAAAGGACAACAAAGACATATGTGAATCATGTGACAAGCTTTCCATATCAACAAATGATCGGTATCAAAGATTTACAATCAATGAGATACAACGATTTCAACTTAATATACATCAATAAGACTTCAGTACAATTGGCACGGAAAATACAATTTCGGATTATCATTTAGCTAGAATTTACAGGCTTTCAGCCCTATCTAGCATTCTGTCAATAGCAAAGTGATACGAGTCATGCTCTACATGGCCAAAGGCATAAATCCGATACCAGAAGTTATACGAGACATGCCCTACATGGCCAAAGGCTACATACCAATACCAAATTGATGCTTAGTCATTCACTTCATGATCAAAGGTATAGCTTCATTATCATAATAACAAGGGAAAGCACATTGCACATATAACACATAACATACAATTGTTCTTATAATTTAAACTCACCGTGAAATAACTTGAGGTTAAAATAGTAATTTGGGCAGCACTTCATTTCTATAGTTAACTTTCTTTGATGAAAATCGGGAGATTTATTGAAAACTAGGCCTTGCGAGGGTTGAACATCAAACCGAAAAGATAAATTTCTCGGGGTCTTCAGGCACTTCAGAACGTTTTTCGGTGTTAGGTATGATCCCGGGGCTTCAGGATATGTTAGTATAACTTAAAATGGATTTAGAGGTAAAAAGTGTGAAATTTCTAAACAAAACCGGTAGGGTTCACACCTCCCTTTATATAGGCGAGGTTTCGGCCGAATGGGGGGATGGAGGGAGGAGGATGGAACACGTGTCGGACATGCGAGGGGCCAGGCGTCAGAAGCGAGGCCGAGACACGCATCAGCAGCGAGGCGAGGTGGCTCGCTTCGAACCCTTCGGACGATCCACGATTCGGATACGGGGCAGGCTTGCAAGGCTTGTACGTGGCCGAGTCCGAGCCATGCATGCGAAATTTCTCGGATTTTGTGTCCAATCTTAAAAAATTCATAAATATCGCATACGAGCTCCGTTTTTGACATTATTTATATGCACACGTAGGAGAGATTATACTCTACAACTTTCGTTTAGACTCCGTTAGCTAGCTTTGACTTATTTTTAATAGATCGGGACAGGAAAATCTGTTAAAAATTCATAACTTCTTTATCTGACGTCCGTTTTCGTCTGTCTTTTTACCGTTCTATTACTATTGATGAGACATTCGATTCTCATTTAGGTTGTGTTGGCTAAAAATCACTCGATCTTTATTTCGAGTTTTTAGTTGTATATTGTTATACCGAAATTTAGAAAAATCATAATTTCCTCATATGAAGTCAGATTTTGATGTTCTTTTTATGAAAATTATTGGTTTGATGAATACTACGACTTTCATTAGATCACTAAAGCTAAAAAGTAGTTTATTGAAAACTTATTTTTTACGCTAAATAGTGTTTTCCCGGTTTTGTCGTAAAACTTCGATTGGTCATAACTTCTTCGTTATAACTCGGATTTCGATGAGGTTTTCGCCCAAATGTTTCTAACGAGATAATATACAAATTTCAATAACATTATTTTTATTTATTGTTAATTTCAATAGTTGACTCTTGATCGGAATCTCATAAGACTTGCCATACTTTCCGAATGATTCTAAACATAGTTTTACTTCAAATCTCGTAAAAACTATCTTGTTAGAACTCAACACTCAAAATCATATATTAAATAATATTCATTTGTAAACAAAACACGATAACTGAACGTGTATGTTACAAATACCTCCTCCTTTTGAGGATTTCGTCCCCAAGATTACAACGATTTAAACAAATGGGGATATTTCGCTCTTATCTCATTCTTATTTTCCCAAGTATAATTTGGGCCTCTATGGTGTTTCC